TACGGGTTTTCCAAATATCTCGACTCCTGCGCCACCTGTCGGCAAAAAAAATTTTCGGATTTATTTCTTTTCATATACGTAATAAATGTTCTAAATACGAACTAAATCAGCCTAGCGGATTAAAACATCTTTTAAATTGTATTGTCCTCGAGTTCTGAGCTAAGTTTGAAGTTTCAAGTCTGTAGCTCATCGGGAAGTTTGTTAAATATTGACTGCAAAGTTCCAGGACATACATACATACATACATACATACATACATACAAGTGAAGTTAAATAAAAGCTTGTAAAAATACCGGCGGAAACGAACTTAATTACTATTTATATTTATTTTACGTTCCCACGATAGTCGGATAAATCTCCAAAAACCCTCCTGGGGAATTGGTATGCCGTTACAACAACTACAAAGGTAATGTTATGCAAATTTTTTTATATCCACCTTTGTCATTAAAATTTTGGCCATTTAATGCCCTGTAGAAATCCGGCTTTGTAGTCGATAATACCGCCGGTTCTACGTACCGGAATGATTTGGGGTTTTACCCGACCAAGGGTTGTTGTTTCGGCGACCTAACCCCCGTTTAGGTACATCTGCTCCGCACTCTTCTGTTCAGCGCTGGCATCGAGTCAAACCCTGGGCCAGAAATCTACACCCGAACGTGTGCCAGAGGTGTAATGCCTGTAACGGGTGTAGTCAGTCACCTTCAAGTTTGCTCAGGCCTCGGGCCTCACCGGCAATGGTTCACGTCATACGTGAGCAGCTCAACACAAACGTGACTGCACCATAACACAACACAATAGAGCGCACCATAGACCACACCATAGACATAACGGCACCACCACCCACACGCTGCCGCCAACAACTCTTGGCCTGCTCGGTGTGTCAGACCAGAATATTCCGTAACGTGACATCAATCAAGTGCAAAATCTGCCTCACGTACATAGGTTGGCATAAGTTCCGCAGGGTTGTCATTGTCGCTGCAGTTCGCTTCATCCCAGCCGGATGTATTTCGTACCCCCGTCCGAATTTTCCTAGCCGATGAGCGTGACAACCTACAGGCCGATCCCGAAAATCCCCTCATCAGGGATCTCAATACGGAGATTCGGCAAACTGTGAATGAACATAAGCGGAAGAAGTGGGAAGAGTACCTGAAGACTTGCATCTCCACCTCTGTTGTGAGCAAGCTTTGGTCAACCGTGAAGTCCAAGTCCAAACCGACGAAGAGTGAGACAGTGGAAATCTCTTTCGGCGAACACACTTCCTGGGACCCGGAGCGATGCGCGAAGACCACCAAAGGCATGGGATACGACGGTATATGCATGCAGGCTGGTCTATGGCTATCCTCATTCCAGACATATGGAAAGTGGGGAGGGTGGTCGCACTGCTCAAACCGGGGACACCGGCCAACATGGGAGAATCTTATCGTCCGATAACCCTCCATTCCCCGGTAGCGAATACACTTGACGCCTTGCTTCTCCCGCACTACACGAACCACCTGACCTCAGCTAGGCATTAGCATGGGTTCCGTAAAGTGCACAGCACAACAACAGCACTTAACGCCATAAACACCCAGATAACTCGTAGCAATTGTCAACAAAGTTCAGAGACGCAACAAGGTCCTCAAATCGCTAGTCAGCAGCACCTGGGGCAAAGACGAAGAAATGTTGCTGGCAACATACACTTCAATTGGCGACTTTGTGGTCCGCGGGGACTAGTAGGATGCAGTGGACGAAGCTTCAGACCGGCCAAACCCGACACTCCGGACAGCTACCGGATGCCTTCTGATGTCGCTGCAAGACTACCTACACAGTGAGGCTCAAATGCTCCCCGTCAGGGAGCATAACACAATGCTATGCAAGCAGTTCCTATTAGGGTGTCACCGACGTGGGCACCCGAACAACCACCTTCTTGTGGCGGAGCTCTCGCCAAGGCACGTCAGAAGACACCTATATGAACCTACGGACGAACACAACCACTGGACGTGGACGAGACAGAGCTTCGTCTGCCTCAGCAGGCTAGAACGACAATAACACAACTTCGCTCTGGCTACTGCAGCAGGTTAAACTCGTACCTGAGCAGATTAGATACAGATGTGCCAAACGGGTGTCCGGCATGCGGAGAGACACCCCACGACTCGGGACATCTTCTCGCATGTCAGCAAAACACCCCTCAGCAAACGCCTCTGTCCTTATGGACAAACCCTATGGAAGCTGCACAATTCCTGGGCCTCCCGTTAGTGAAGCTTAATGACAACGATTGAGAGACTAGCTGATCTAGGCGGGTTCGAGTAAGCGCTACAACAACAACAACAGGTGCCATTAAGTAAAGGAACCACTTCCCTCAATGAGGAATGATGAGACTAAGTTGTAATTGATAAGTGGGGAGACGTGGTGACGTAGTCTTCTCCCGCGGGGCGGGGTTTGGTTGAGTGCTGATTGATAAGACATTACGCCATACGACGAATAGACTATGTGAGGGACCAAGAGCTCCAAAGGTAATTATTAGTTTTGTTGCTCCGCAGAGCTCAGTGGAGCTAAGAAGCAGACCTTTAGGTGGCTTCATCTGTTCCATATGTTGAAGTGGAGTTCGTATGCAGCCTTTTCCGGCATATACATCAGAAGTAGGGTTCTGCTCTGGGGTGACCTGCATGCTAGCCGGAATGAGAAAGGTGCTGCCACTCCAAAGAGAGATCCAATTGGATTTCCTTTTTACATGGTTGGGCAGACCTTGGGTATGATTTCCGAACCCCTTGCATGTTTTTTTATTTAACTGAGCGTGAGTTTCTGATTCTATCGACATCGGAGTAGGCCACTTCAGAAGAATTAATTTCTTGATGACTTGTTTAATTATTTAGGCACCCTGACTTTTTTTCCGACTGCCGAGATACATATGTATATCTGTAGTAGTGGATTTTAAAATTAGGGCTATATTCATGAAAATACTTAAAATAAAAAAAGCTAGTTTAGATATGCATTTAGTAACTTTTCATATCAATCTCCGCATTATGGCTTAAGAAAATGTTGGTTAAATTTCAGCTTGGTGGTTGCTTGGCCAGGATGACCGCGCCTACTTCCTTCAACGCACTCAGTCATTAGTGCCGCTTTCACTACTCGCTGGTTGGCAGAGTGCGCTTTATGTCACGGGCAGCTCGCTGAAAGGCTACTTCCTGCAATTACCCGATAACGTGAAAACGTCATTCAATCAGTACTATACCAGCTATTTAGGTGCAGTAGGGAGTGGCGGAGGCGATGCACACCTGCATATCCACAACATCGAACAACGGCTGCAAAAGGCGCTTACTGCTGAGGAGTATGAGAATATATTAAACCATGTTAACAGTTATGTGCAACAGCTGATCGATTTGAAGTTGACGAAGCAGCAGAGCGAACAGTCGGCACGCGCAGAGCAGTTGAGCCCAGCGCAAATACAGTTGATTGTCCAGCTGATGCGGGAGAATTTGCAGCGAATAGCATTGGAAAAGCAGCAGGGCAAAACTCCTGTAAATCTGGGTGAGTTGAGTGAGGACGATGTACTGCGGTTAGCTGACCTGGTGAGTGCAAAGCTGGCAGCAAGCGGTTGGGCGCAGCGGCCGGTTCCACTGTCTAGTGAAAACTTGTCGGAAATAAAACGCCTAATTACTGAGCATTTGGAACTGCACGAGCACAATCATTATACGCTGCTGGTGGAGCGTATTGATTTGGATGCGTTGTTGTTGCGTATCTTAAGTGCGCCGCAGCTGGCTAAGTACGTGGATGCTCGTATCGCTGCGGCATTCGAGAGCAAACATTGGCAGGCTGGTGGGACAGAGAAGCTGCGCGAAGGATCGGGTTACAGTGAGCACTACACGGTGCAGCAGCGACTCATCGATGAACTCAACAACGAAATCGCTTTCATCAAGCTGGCGCTCTCCGACAAGTTGTCCGAGAATGAAGGGCTGCATCAGTCGATAAGTAAATTGAAAGTGGCGCAGGATGATTTGTTGAAGCGCATGCAGGAACATGAGCTCGCTACAGATAAGCGATTTAGTGGTTTGCTAGCTGAGATTGAAATCAAGCTCGCTGCGCTCAAGGATGATCACTTCAGGTTGCTCAATCAGCAGATCAAGCTGTCGCTGGTGGAGATACTTGGCTTCAAAGAGAGAACACCAGCAGGTGCCAATTTGGAGGATGTCGACTTGCAAAATTGGGTGCGTAACATGTTTGTGGCTAAAGATTATCTCGAGGAGCGCCTGATGGCGATCAATAAGGGCACCGACAACAAGATACGTGAAGAAATCGATCGTTCCGGCATGCTGCTGATGCGCGATATTAGCGAGCGTTTAAAGCGTGAAATACTGATTGCGGTCGAGGCGAAACATAATGAGAGTGCAACAGCATTGAAGGGTCAAATCAATACGGCTTTGTCCGAAGAGGAGGTCCAAAAGATTGTCAAATCGGTGCTGGCCATCTACGATGCCGACAAGACTGGATTGGTGGATTTTGCCCTGGAGTCTGCGGGCGGACAAATACTTTCGACGCGGTGTACTGAAAGCTTTCAGCCCAAGTCAGCGCAGATATCCATATTCGGCATACCGCTGTGGTATCCAACCAATACGCCACGCATAGCCATCTCGCCGCAGGTACAACCCGGTGAATGCTGGGCATTCCAAGGCTTTCCGGGATTTCTGGGTGAGTTGGAAGGTGGTAAACGCTTTGTTAATTACTCGTAACGTTCACATGTTTTGTATTTGCAGTTTTGAAGCTCAATTCAATGGTATATGTGACTGGATTCACTTTAGAACACATACCGCGTTCGCTTTCGCCAAACGGACGCATTGATTCTGCGCCTAGAAATTTTACAGTTTGGGTGAGTTTTTAAAAAGTTAACTATCGAAGTTGGTGAGTAAAATGCCAAGGGAAAACGAATAGGAAATGGAATATATGTAAAAACTAGGCTGAGGACCTTCTAACTTAGTCTTCAAACGTGTAATGAAAAAAAAATAACAGCCTTAGGTGCACTATTGACGTCAGTCTACCGGTTACCGATGATTACTTCTCAATTCTTTTATGATCTAATATATACATTCTTCTCTTTTTTCCATCCAAGGGTCTCGAACATGAAAAGGACTACGAGCCAGTGCTCTTCGGTGAGTATGAATACGTTGATAATGACGCCTCTTTGCAATACTTTCCAGTGAAAAACAAAGATATCAAACGGCCATATGAAATTGTGGAGCTGCGCATCGAGTCAAATCACGGACATGCGCAGTACACTTGCCTATATCGTTTCCGTGTGCATGGCAAGCCACCGGCAGCGTAATTCAACAGGCCACAAACAACACAAAGTGTTTATTTAGCTTTCTAATATGCATAAGTTTACAGTAATAAATAGTATACCGTCAAACTAATAATAATAAGAACTATGTACATACCTACAATTGCAAACTACTAAGTGTAAACTTTGTGCCTTAAAAGTATTCAGAAAAAACTAAATGAAAGAGCACAGTTGCAGAGTTTGAAATTGCAGGCCTTAGCTAACCTCAAACATCTACTAACATAAGTTACTAACAATTAACTGAATTTAGATGTAAAAAATTGTAAATAAAATGAATTGCTGCCACAGTGAAGAATATAAAATATAGTATAGTAAGTCCTATGTGTAGATAAGCGAAATGGTTTCCTACGTTACTTCATAACTTGAATTTATGTATACACAAAAAGAGGCAAAGTAGTTTAAGAGTTTTTTAAATACTTATTATATTTCGTTATTTAGCTGTAGTTTTAAGTTACACTATTAATTAATATAATTCAATACACTGAAGTGCATGTACATATTTATTTATTTAAAAATTTAGACATAAGACATTTTTAAGAGTCAATACCGCCATACAAACCGCAAACAAAACTAAATATTTACATATCCAAAACTTGTTAAAAACTTGTGTACATTAATTAGCACTAAGCTTGCCAATGATTACTAATTAAATTTACTTAAATATATGTTAGTACTTACGTACCAAAGGGCGTTGAAATTGTGTGTTAAAATCAGTTATTTGCGTCAGTCCTTATTTAGAACTTGAATGGTATTAACTTGGCTTTCAGGGGTTCTTTTCTACACACCTAAACATCGAACGTGTTAACAATAAATAAAAACGTTTATACATATATTTATATATTTATACAATATTCAGTAAGATATGTAAATACCAATTTTTATGTAATTGGTTATCTTCTAGCTACTATTATAGTTTGTCTTATAAATTATGCTGAGTTTCGAGCAGGTATTGGAATTACGAAAATTAACTGCAAATCAAACCTAAAATGGTGTATGTATTTAAATTTCAGAATTTTATAATTAGTTCATGTAAAAAATAAAATACGTTGCGAATAGAAAATTAGTGCCGTAATATTTTCCTAATAAATAAGAAATGAAATGAATAATGTAAAAAATTCCGTTGCGAAAGCGATGGGCACTCATGCAACATACCTGAAAAAGAACATAACCTTGGTCATTGGTCGTCGCATTTTTACCAACTTTAAACCTAATGTAAACAAATCACCCACCAGCAGTCTAATGGCTCGCCCAGTGATTTTTTTGTTGCAATAAGCAGGCTTTCGGGAAAACTCGCCTAGGGCAATATCAAAAACTCCGTGACATGGATTTTATGGACCAAACTCCTCTTATATCTCAATACTTTACAAGAATCGCTGATTTTTGTATTTAACAAGAAACACTTCTGCTACAACCTGTGGCAACTTGATAAAAGAAGCAAGTTCAATTTGATTTAAGCGATTTAGGTAATTGAAATATGTATCCCAATATGAGTGCCAGACGAAAGAGATTCGTCTTGTTACCATTCAGCAGGTCAAAGAAGTGTTCAATCCATAATTTAAACACGCTTTGGACTTCGATCACAATGTCGCCGTGTTTGCTCTTAGCGGTATTCGGTCTGGTCTTAAAACTTCCTCTAAGTCGCCCGACTTACGCCCAACAGGCGGTCTTCAAATCATAGTCCGTTGAACGTCTCTCGTGGTCGTCATCAAAACAAAGCGTTCTCCTAAGAAGCTGGATTTCTCTTTTCATTGAAAGCTTGTTTTAAATGGCGAATGCCACGCCTTGCTTGGCTTTAAATGCAAAAGAAGAGTACTTAGGGTGCACTGTAAAACTTTTGTTCAGAATAGCTGCAACCGTTGTTATCATCAGAATAACTCCACTTCTAATAAGCTTCTAGTGCATGCCTCTGATTTGAACTAATTTTAACAACTTGAAAGTTCATCTAATAACCATTTCACTGCATTTCAATACAAAATAGTATATAGATTTTTATGATTCTTTAAAATACATTTATCCTTAGTATCTTGCTCTCAAGTCAAAAAGGTCTCAAAAATATTTTAATATGTTTTTAATCTAAATTGCATATCAAACAAATATTACAAAAAAAGCAAATAACTTACTTTATATTTTGAAAGTAAGTAAGCTACAATTTTTGTATGAAGATTAATGGTCTTATTCATAAAAAATAAAATAAACAGCTTTATAAAAGTGACATTTTCATAAATATTTTCGATTCGTAAAGCAGTTAAAGTCTTTTGGCCTTATTCATAAAAAATAAAGTAGGTTTAAAGAGCTTTATAAAATGACGTTTTCATATGTTCTTCAGTTTATAAACCTTTTTTAAAGCTACTTTATTTTTTATGAATAAGGCCATTTATTTTTTATGAATTTAGCTGTAAATTTTTAAATGTTGTGTGTAAATTTATATTTATTTTTCTCTACATAACTTTTATGGGTACAATAGGTATTTCTTTATTTTAGAAATTTGTATAACGGTAAAAGTTAACAATTAACAATTTAAAATGAATATTAGTTTAAAAAATAATTAGATAAAATTTAATTGAACTTAAATATGTGTGTGTACAATTAGTTTAAAATATGATTAGTGTTTTCAATATGTTACTTAAAAACGTTGCAAGTAAATAAATAAAATAAAAACATAAAATCTGCAGTTTTCAACTGTTTATGTAGATACAAAGAAACAATTGCAAGTAAGTGATTGTCCATGATTTGGAAATCCATATCGTTCCCCTTATCCCAGAAGTATGAATCACACTATATACGGTAATAAACCTTTTCGCAGTTTTCACCAATTGGTCCCCGAGGAGTACTTTTGGGTTGTGTGCAGCGTTTTCGTTTTGCGTGCACGGCAACACTAACTGTGGGGAATTTCGCCTCATGATTAGAAAAAGTTCTTTTCGAGGATAAAATATATGTAATTATGTGTTATTTATGAACAAAATGTAAGATAACTATAATATCAATGCTTATTTAAGAATAATAATTATTTATATATATAATATATACATATATATATGTTTCTATAAAATGGAAAACTCAAATCGTAATTATAGCACTGAATGGAGTTTTCTTAAATGCAAGTTCAAAATTAAAAAAAATATCCAGTGTAAGATTACATTTTTATGAAAAACATGAATATCGTGTTATTTTGTGAATTTATGAAGTAAACTTCTAAATTTCAGAATATATTTAAGTTTTTATAAAAAAAAACAAGGTTTGTATAGTTATAGAGACTCCAATGCCTGCGAGTGCATTCGCCCAGGCAGTTCATTAAGCACATCCAAGTTTGAGCGACCATTACCCGGAGCTCCTCAAAAATAATTAACATCGAAATATAGAATGTCACAAATATGAATCATGAACACATCCATCAGTAATTGCTATGAATTGCTACCGTATAAATTCAGGACATGCATTTGCTTGGAGACTCCGTTAGTTATGGTGGTCATACGTGCTCGTGGTTGCTTCAACATGATGGGTCGATTTTAGTGAACCTCACATGTCACTGCCTCTGGCTACAAACTGGATATCTGAATTTTTGAAAATAAATAGCAATTATCTATTAAAATTATAAGAAAAGTGTTTGTTTACAAAATTACCTGTGCCGCTCTGCCATAGTGCGGTTGTTGCTCCCTTTCATACCACAGTAATTTTGTATACAATTCTGGATCAGCAAAATTCATGCTCCTCTTTATCAGCCCTGATCAGATTTTACCCCCGAGGAGTACTCAGAAAGGTTTATTCCTGTATATACTGTGGTATGGATGTGCAAATTTACCAATTTTTAGTTATTGGGTTGACCTGATTAACGTTTAGAAGTTCTATGTTATAACCAGGGTCGAAAGTTTTAAGCTTTTGCTTGGAATTGCTTATTTTGCTTATTTTGCTTATTTAGGGTTTCCAAGCTTAATTCAATTATTTCGTCTGTGTGAATAGTGAAGATGTGAAGGCTTTGGGGCTTTCGAGAGAACTATTATACGCAAGATCTACTGCTCTGTTTTCGTGGACGAAGGGTATTGGAGAAGATGAAATGACGAAGCGAACGTATGAGCTTTTTAACGACATGGACACAGTGAAGCGCATAAAAATACAGCGATTGTGCTGGCTTGAACATGTTGTACGTATGGAAGACGACGCTCCACGGGCGCCCAGGAACGCAATGGAAGGAACTGGCGCAAATTCGCATAGGAGAGAAGCAATTGGAGAAGCTTTTTGGTCTCGGCCCAAACCGATAAACGAAGAATAGTAGTGTCCAAGGAGTTTTGACATCTGATATCTTACAGCATGCTGTCTCACTTTGTCCTTACGAACTAATGGAATGAGAGTATATTTCTGTTGAAAACAAGGCCTTGTTGTTGTTGTTGGCTAGTGTTGGAATTTGCTTTCCCTCTTCCTCCTTGAGTGAAGAATAGCTGAAATTTCGCATTTGTGTAGCGAAAGCGAAAACAAAATATATGCTAGTTTTTGTTTTTGTACTACCTCTACCACCTTATATAAGTTCGCCTTGGTATGTACCAGACAACAGCATGAGTATACTCACTTCCCTCTAAACAGTATGAACTCATTGCTGTGAACTCTATAAGGTTAGTGAGAAACACCGTACAAACAGTGAGATTCATAGTTAGTTTTGACATCAATGTTTAGCTGCAGTGTACTCATTTGATTTCAAATATGGCATTGATATACTCTTTCCAAATCAAGTCAAGCGAGTGAAAAATGCTGTTATGAAAAACAAGTCGAGCAATCGAATGACACCATTGACTTCAAACAATTAGTAGAGAATACGACAATTTTGAAAAAAATGGATATTGATGAAGTATTTTTTTAAATACATATATTAGTTTTACTAAATTATTTAGTTATGCACCCGACGTACATTTATATAACTAGTCTACAAAAGAAATGCAATGTTACCTCAGAAGACATCGGCTTTATAAGGGACTTGGAAAAATATGTTGCTTTATTATTTAAAAACAGTTGCTGTTGAAAACTAACAGATTTGCACAATATTGTGCTTTTTTTATACCCGCCAGCAAAAGAGCTCAAGAACTTTACCGAATCTGAGCAAAGGTACACAAAAGGGAAAATGTTTACCAATTATGAGAACGTTAACTGAGAATTCTGACAGTACAACGGAACCACAAATTGCGGATACACCTTTGTAACCTTCAGACAACTTTGAGCTGTTTTCAGGTCTTCTTAAACAACCTACCTTTGTGAGCAGAACTGATAAAGCTACTGCAGAGCTGCGGCGA